CCGAATCAAACACAGAAGTTCATGGTTGCTGATCTGACTGGTGAGGAGTGGGTACTACCAGCTGGAACATTGCCACTGGCAGGGGCAGACAGGAAAATAGAAATGCTCGTAATGTCCTCCCAAAGAAAACCTTTGATGGACAAAAGAGCGGTTGTATTTTTACCCTCTCCCTTCATGCTGCCAGGCGTCTTTAAATAGATCCTCTAGCCTAGGGACTTGTATGGAATAATTCATATTAAAACCCAAGAAGTGGCAGAGGAGGGTTCTTTCTTCTCTTTCTTTCCTCCCCCCCCCCACCCTCCACCCCTTGTCAAGCGAACAGGAAAAGACTCATTTTCATTCAGCTGTGTTAAATTTCTCCTTTTGGGTCTTTTAATGAACTTGAGCTAATTCAGAAAAGACTACGAAAACCCCCAGGAAAAGAAAAGGAATAGGAAGCTGCATCGTCGATTGCTCTTGGATACCTTTTGGTCCCAAAGACATTAGCAGCATCTTTCAAGGATGCTTTTAAACCCATCTTTGAAGGGTTTGCATGAGGCTCTTAAATGGGGATGCCTAATTGAGAAGTCCAGTGCCTTCCATTGGCAACTCATAAACCAAACGGTTGTTCTGCTGTTAGGAGAGAGAGAGAGAAAAAAAAAGGAAGGAAGGAAGGAAGGAAGGAAGGAAGGAAGGAAGGAAGGGAGAAAAAGTCCTCCCCATCTCCCCGGCCCCATGCATTTTTAGTTCAGCTCCGGCTAGGATCCATTTTTTCCCTCTCCCTTTCGCCCAATTGGGTTTCCAAAAGACAGTCAAGCTCGTGCTAGCCAAATGAAAAACCCTGTCTGTCCTTCTTTTTCCTTGGGAAGGGACGGCTGTGGGAAGGACGGAGAAAGGGGGCGGAGTGGGGGCTGAGGATCCAGGGAGCTTTGTTTTAAGCCACTTGTCCCCGGAACAGACAATAATCACATTTCTCTTAATGTAGGCCGAAGTGCATCCAGGCGTTCCCATAGCTGTCCACCCCCCAGCCCTGCGCCGGAGGAGATGTGCCGGGTCACTGTGATGGTATGCCTGTCCCCGCCAGCCCGGGGTCACTCCAGCCCCGCTCTCAACCGCCTGAGGGGCAGGCCGAGCCCTGCTCCTCTCTGAGAGTGGGTTCAGGCTCAAGGGCTCCAGAAG